TGGCAAAAATCCATGTGAGAAATCACCGTTAATCATGTAATTAAATTTACTTGGCCAAGAGAGGAAAATAATATTTTTTCCAAAATCTTCAACGTAATTTTTTGTTAGACTATGTTAGATAAAATTTCACGGTAAAACTAGAAATAGAACTTCTACTGATGTTGCATAATATTCTAAGTTTTCAAATGGTAACGAAAGAACAAATGGTGTGAACTGAACAAAACAAAACATTAATTGCTCAGTTCACACCATTTGTTCTTTCATTACCATTTGAAAACTTAGAACATTATGCATTGCAATTTGCAACATCAATAGAAGTTTCGTTTCTAGTTTTACCGTAAAATTTGGAGTACAAGATATCAAATTTGAAAATACTATTTTTTTTTTATTTTAGAGTTTTCTATACTTTTTCTTCTATATATAGAGTAGAAAATAGCAATCTCTATTTTAGAGTTAGAAATAGAGATGAATTGGAGATCGCTATTTTTTTATATTTTTTTATAGAGATGATTTTTTTTTAAGAGATAAATGTGATGGGGTCAAATACCAAAAGAAAAGAAACACATGTTATCCTCCCGACTGTCGGTGGCCGCAAGAGGCGATTTTATACCTTGTTCACAAGCTTTTCAATCTTGCTTTTCTATGGCCGGCGGCTCCGATTAGCGCCGGTCACGGACCCCTGGTTAGTTCTACTTAGTTGTTTAGTTTTCCTTTATAGCTTCTATGGGTTTATATTCTCAAATCTGGTTTTAAGAGTTGGTTGATGGGTCGTGTTGGTGGACTTCGGCTCGTCGCCACTACGTGTTAAGGCATTGGAACCTCTGCGTGGTTAGATTTGAGCTACTCAGTTGTTAGATTTGGTTCTCTCTTTGGCTCGGTTGTGGTAAATCAGAGTTCTTTTGTTGTGGTCGGGCTTCTTATGCCAGCCGTAGGCCTTTGGTTTGCTCAACCTTGCTCTTTCACCTTCTCCCATGGACTAGGTCTTAGCTTTGGTCTGGATTTTTATCCTTGTGTGAGTTTAAATAATAGCTTGTTATTCTGGTTTGCCAGGCTTTAGTGTTAGTTGTATTGAAGGTGGTTTATGGTTGTGTTGTTAGTAGATCTCAAG